GGCTGTGCATATAGGTATATAAATTATTTAGTTAATATCTTCATATCTCTACCCACCCCTCCTATCTGAGATCTGTCAATCTGTTCTGATCATCCATGCCTCTGGACCTATTTTTTTTTCATCAGTTTATTTTGTTCATTAGATTCTACATATAACTGAGAACATGTGATATTTGCATCTTTCTGACTGGCTTATTTTACTTACCATAATTTTATTTTTTTATTTTAAAAAAAAAAATTTTAATTAAATTATTATCTGTGTACAAATACCATTGCCCCCCCTCCCATACATGCCCTCCCACCTGAGAGTTTTGTTTTTTAAAAATTCTTTATAATTTCTCCTGTTCTGATGGGATGATTTCAACTGTTCTTACAGGTTGCTAATCAGTTTTTCTGTATTAACTAATTTGAGATTTATTCTATCTTATGTCTTTCATGTCAGTTATTATACTCTTCATTTGTGATTGGTTACCATTTGTCTTATTCTTTTGAGATTCTCTGAGTTCGTTTATTTTATTGTCCTGTTTTGTTTTGTTTTGGTTTGGTTTTGGTTTTTTGTTGTTGTTGTTTTGTTTTTTGAACATCATATGACTGTTTATTTGAATTTTTATTGGGCAAATTACTTATTTCTATTTCCTTGGAGTTTTTCTCTGGGAGTTTTCTTTGTGTCTTCACTTGAAAAACATTCTTTTTTCTCCCCAGTTTGCTTCACTTTCTGTGTTTGTTCTATATGTTAGATTATATAGATATCTATCTCAATTTTGAAAAAGTGGACTCTGTGCAGACTATTTGCCACTATTTGGTTTGACAGAATGGCTGTAGTCAGGGCCAGTTTGTGCAGTACCTGGAGTGGCATCTGACAAGAAGTGGGGTATAGGCTGGGCAGCCATGTGTTCATGCTTATGCACTAAATTCCTGGGGTTATTTATTTATTTATTTATTTTTGGCTCTCCAAGGTAAGAAAAATGTTGAGGTGGGACAGCCTGACCTGTGCAAGGACTGCATCACCCTACTAATCCCACACTTTCTCCAGACAAGGAAGCCCCATGTGCATACATATTGCAGAACTTTGCTAGTTCTGAACTTCCAAAAGAATCCAATGGTGTTTGTGCAGTGGTTCCCCACTAGTTCTTGAGTCAAAATAGCTCATCCACCTTTGGAATTTTCTACTCAAAAAAGGACTTCTTTCCCTGGGACTCTGAGTTTAAGGGACTATGTAAGACATATATCTCAGTGCAGGTTTTGCCTAAAACTGGTGTATCAACAGTCTTAGGTGAGAATACTGTGTTCTCAGCTTTCTTAACAGTTGTACACTGTATATAAAAACTCCTGTATTTATTTATGACTTGGGGGAATCAGGAAAAATTTGTCATCTGTTTGATTTTATTGCATTCAAGACCTCACCTGTTTTCTAAAAATGCTTCACTGGGATATATATATATATATATATATATATATATATATATATATATATATTTTCTTTCAGTAAAGAGTTAAAGATAATTTCCTTTTGGAGAATGTCATGCTGCCCCCAGAGATAATTTGCTTCCCCAGGGTTGATACATTCAACTCTGTGCTTTTGAACCTATCAAAGGAACAGTGGAATGAGACAAATCACATATTGTCTGTGATACTGTTTAATTTATTTGAAGTGGTTTCCAATTTCTGATTTACTATATTGTAAACTGTTTTATAGCCAACATATAAAGAAGAAAATTCTATTATTATGATAGTACCTGAATTATGAAGACTTTCTTTGCCTCAGAATTGCTAGAATCCTTTACAAAGTATCTCCATAAGATAAAGATTAGAAATCATATATCTCATGATTGTTCTCATTATATAATTCTCAGATAGTGTCCATACATAAAGACAGCTAATTAACATAATCCAGACGGGGGTGGATTGAACAAACTAATAATAAACATTATATTGGAAGTTATTTGAGTTAATCTAGTGGAGATAGAAGGGAGATATATGTATGGGACTGATGGGGAGAATTCAAGAAAAACTCAAATTAGTAACTCTTCTCTTCACTGAATTTAGCCACATATTAGAACCTCAGTTTGATATGTTTATACTATATACTATTAACTCATTAGGAATATATCCACAGAATATACAATAGAATTAGGAAACTGGTTGTAGAGTCTTTGTTGTTAGCACTATCCAGATAGCTCTTTACTCTCTTTACTATACTAGGCCAGCCACACCCATAAGATAAAATACATGGCTGGCTCTATGAAGTAATATGAAGAGCAATAAAGGCATACAATCACCAAAAAGTCACCCTTATTGGCATATAAATGTTATCTGAAATGGGGAACATATTACAATCATCATTTTTAAACATCTCAACTAGTTCTTACTTGAGCAGGGTTCTAAAAATCAAACAAATGGCAAGGTTGTCCTGATTCTCCACTAAGTCAGAAATAAATGTAGGGGCTTATAAATGGGTCAGAGATAAGGCAAATTTTGATGGTAGGAGAAAGAACAGACAGTGGTGGTAAGTAAGAAGGTAATATTAAAAACAAGAGTATTTTTCTTGCCCTGGCCAGTGAGGATCAGTTGATTGGGCATGGTCCCATTCATTAAAAGGTCACCAGTTTGATTCCAGATTGTGGGCTCCATCCCCAGTAGGGGGCATGCAGGAGGCAGCGGATAGATGATTCTCTCTCACATAGATATTTCTCTCCCATTCTCTGCCTCTCCCATCTCCTCTCTCTAAAATCCATTAAAAAGATATATATTTTTAAAAAATATTTTTCATTGGCATTTCTATCAATAAAGAAAAACTGAAGTAGGTGGAATGGAAAATTTGGAGATCTGCTAAAACCAAGAAAGATAACATAAGACTTTAATTTTAACCTCCTTCACTGTATCAGTCCCCAATTTACCTACTTGGACATATTAATGCTAGATATACATGCACATTAGCCTAAAAGTCAGGACTTTCTTGTTCTCTAGCTGTGAGACTGATCATAAAAGCAGCTCTTTCTAAATGGGAGAGTTACAAAGCTAGCTGTGTTTTTTCTTCATTTAATAACCCATTAACAATGAAAACCTCAGTGTTTCTTCCTCTGAGCAGCCACAAAGTCTGCTTACATCCCTATCTTCCACCCATTCAGCCCTAAGGATGGAGGACTCAGAGCTCTCTCCTTCCTGGGAGCACTCCTCTCATCATGCCTTTCCCCTTCCATTTTCCTTCCCTCCATCCACAGGTGCTACACCATTATCATCCTCACTCCCTAGCTCCAAGTGCCCTTCATTTATCTCTATAACTTGTTCCCTAAGCTAATTTATTCTAAAAATTGCTTCTTCTACCACTATAATTTACCAAATAAATGTTTTCTTACAATTGGGTCTTGACACTGAATTCTTTCCTAGCCAGAACCCAAGTACCAAGGCGAGGTTGCTAAACCCAGGTTTAAAAAGAAGAGCATTGCCGGGACCTATTTGGCTCAGTGGATAGAGTGTCAGCCTGCAGACTGGAAGGTCCTGGGTTCAATTCCGGTCAGGGGCATGTACCTTGGTTGCCGGCACGTTCCCGGTGAGAGGTGTGCAGGAGGCAGCTGGCCGATGTTTCGTCGACGTTTCTAACTCTGTGTTCCTCTCTGTGTAAAATCAATAAAAATATATTAAAAAAAAAAAAAAAAGAGCACATGTTTCTGAGGGAATGGTGTGTGGGCTGGTTATGAGCATTTTATCTGAAGAGATACAAACGACAGGATAATTTCACTTTGTGTTGATTGTTTTATTTCAGATTAAAAAATCATTCTTCAATCAATTACAGCCAGACCTGGCTAGGTAGCTCTATTGGTTTAGAGCAGGTGTCGGCAACCTACAGCTCCAGAGCTGCATGCGGCTCTTTTGAAACTTTGCCGCGGCCCCAACAGCAGGGCCGATAGCGGGGAGGGGGGGGGGGGGTGGTGAGGCACGGAGAGCTGTATCATTTACCTCCGCAGGCGCTCTGTGTGGCAGGTTGTCAGCGACTTAGTGTTGCTAGGCAACCACAACATCCCTGTCCTGGCCCAGCCTCCTCCCTCACATCACAGCGTGTGATGTCACTGAGGGCACGCTGAGCGTGCACCTCTGAGCTGGGGAGGAGGAGACTGCTGCGAGGGGAAAGAGAGGTGCTGACAGAGGGGACACTGAAAAATGAAAATAAAAAAAGCAATAAAGAGAAAAAAGGAAGAAGGAAAAAGAAGAAGACAGAGAGGACAGAGAGGACTGGAGAAAGAGAAAGAGAGGGCTTGCAGTGTGACTGTCACTGGGAGTCGGGCCTGTACAGTGAGTGGAGAACAAGAGCCTGAAAGAGAAAAAACAGCAGCCAGGTAAAAAAAAAAAAGATTAATAGATACTAATTTTTGTTGTTGGTTAAGCATGGGAGACAAGTCCTTTTGTAAGGTGTACACTGTAGGAAATTTGTGGCTATTATATAAAAAATTATTTTTTAAATAAATAAATAAAATTATTATTTACATTTTTTATTTAATTTATTTAATTTACAGAATATTGGGGGGGCTAATGAATTATTTTTATGGCATGCATGGCTCACTAATTAATTTACAAAATATTGGGGGCCTAATGAATTGGTTTTTTTTTTTTTAAAAAAAAGGTGACTTGTTAATTTAACGTTTATTTCTATGAGGAGGAGTAATTATGAGGGGGTCAAACAAAGAAATATTTTTTTTAAAGTGGCAAAAAAAATTTTTATGATGAGGAAGAGTAATTCTGAGGGGTTCGGAAAAGAAATAATAATAAAAAAGTGAGAAAAAATATTTTTATGATGAGGAGGGCTTCTTGAGGGGGTCAGGGAAGGAAATTATTACCAAAAAGTGACAAAAAGGTTATTTTTATAATGATGAGGATGACATTGGGCCATCATTATTAATTATTATTTACATCAGGCACTGATTATGATTTATGGTACACTGGGCCCCTAATTAATTTTGTGATTTCTTATTGCATCCCTGTTTTCGACCCCCCGGTAGGCCAGCCATGGATAAAGGCAAGAATAGAAAAATTTCTGAAGAAAACAGAGTGTTTAATGATACATGGGCTGAATCATTTGCATTCTCTACTGTCAATACTGGTTTACCAGTATGCTTAATATGTGGTGAAAATTTTGCAAACAACAAAAAGTTGAATGTTGCAAGACATTTCCAGAATAAACACACAGCCTTTGCTGAAAAATATCCAGATGGAGATGAGAGACGAAAAGCCGTTGCAGAACTTATGAGGAAGGTTGATAAGAGCAAGAATAATTTCAAGAAGTGGGTGAAGTCTGCAAATTCCACAACATATGCTAGTTTTGTGGCCGCTCAGAAATAGTCAAGCACGGGAAACCGTTCACAGATGGAGAGTATATAAAAGAAGCATTCATTAAGGTTTCAGAACATCTATACAAGGACTTCAAAAACAAGAATGAAATTGTGCAGAAAATTAAAGACATGCCTCTCTGTGCAAAAACTGTCAAAGACAGAACCCTAAAAATGGCAGAAAACATTAGCAAACAGCAAATTCAAAACATCAATTCAGCTGTGGCGTACTCCTTCACCTGTGATGAGTCCAAAGATAAAGGTGATATTGTACAAATAGCGCTGTTCTGCCGATATGTGAACTCTTTTGGGCCACAGGAAATACTGATTGAGCTGATACCACTAAAAGACCAAACAAGGGTGAGGATATCTATAAGGCTGTCCTGGACTATTTAAGTGCTGAAAAAATAAACACCAACCACCTGGTCTCAGTGGCTACTGATGGGGCACTGAGCATGAGAGGAGCACAGAAGGGCTTTGTGGCTCTACTGCAGAAGGCTCTGGGTAAAACGCTGCTGTCATTTCATTGCATCCTGCACCAAGAGGCATTGTGTGCTCAAACATTTCCCCCGGAATGCACAAAAGTGGTGGATGTGGTCATTCAGATTGTTAATAAGATAATGGCAGAGGGTTTAATCCACTGCCAGTTCCGTTTGCTATTGGATGAGGTGGAAAGCATATATTCTGACCTCCTGCTCCACAACAAGGTCCAGTGGCTGTCCAGAGGCGAGGTGCTAAAACGCTTTGTCGCATGTTTGGAAGAAGTAAAAACTTTCCTGGTCAGCAAAGAGCTCACCTTTGCTGAGCTGGAACAACCAGAGTGGCTGGAAAAATTACATTTTATGGTAGACATGACAGCACATCTAAACACACTAAATACAACCCTTCAGGGGAAAGGAGGCACAGCCCTGCACATGCTGGAGGAGGTTTTGGCATTCGAGCACAAGTTGACAGTGTTTGTCAAAGATTTACAGAGAGGTACACTGTCTCACTTTCCCTCTTTGAGAGAGTTCAAACAAAGTCATGATACGATAAATTTGGAATATTTGAAGTCTACAATCACCACAATACAAAGTTCGTTTGGGAAACGATTCTGTGAGTTCAGAGAGGAAAAAACCACATTATCCTTCCCTTTCATTCCCCTGGCAATCGATCCATCCCTATTGAATATGACTGCATTTGCAGGTGTAAGTCAACCTGATCTTGAGATGGAACTGGCCAATATAGCCGACAAAGATATATGGGTGTCCAAGTTCAAATGCTTAACCGCTACTCTTGAGGATGTTGCCCGTCAGAAGGCCATTCTGGCTCAGAATCATAAATGGAGTGATATTGAAAACTTTCCCAAACAGGACAAACTTGTATTTGAAACATGGAATGCCATCCCCAACACTTATATAGACATGAAAAAGTATGCATTTGGAGTCCTGTCGATCTTCGGCTCCACATATGTATGTGAGCAGGTCTTCTCCAACATGAACTATATTAAAAACAAACATCGGTCATGCCTCACAGATGACAACTTGCAAGCCTGTGTGAAAATGAAGGTAACGTCTTACAGCCCTGATGTGCAGACACTGTGCACTGAGGTTCAGGAGCAAAAATCCCATTAACTAGGTAAATTAAATATTTTAATTAGCTATTAATTTGCAAAAATATATTTTACATTGTTAAGTGAAAAGGTCCTTTTTTTCTTCAGATTGACAGCTAACTGCATGATCCGGTATATAGCATTAAAGTAAGAAACAATATGTAGCAATGGTTTTGTGGCTCCCAGATTTTTTTTTCCCTTTGGAAACGGGTCCAAGTGGCTCTTTATGTCTTAAAGGTTGCAGACCCCTGGTTTAGAGCATCGTCCCATAGGCGAAGGTTGTGGGTTCAATTGTTCTTGTCAGGGCACATAAAAGATGAACCAATGGAAGCATAAATAAGTAGAACAACAAATCAATCTCCTCTCTCTCTCTCTCTCTCTCTCTCTCTCTCTCTCTCTCTCTCTATTCTATCTCTCTTAAATAAATATTTTTTAAATCAATTACAGCTAGAAGAAATGAACGTATCAGTGAACTTACATGAGAATAAAACATTAGCCCTATCAAAGTTAGCTAATAGCTGGCTACTTACTGGATATCAGATAGTGCCTTGATATCTGCCCATCTTCAATACAAAGATTTTACTAAATATAGGAGGGGCACAGTTAGAGGAGGACAGAATTGCAGTAAGGCTTGACTCTGGAGATAATAGGAATCTGGAGAAACCAGTGTGAACATTCCTGCATCTGAATTGTAATGTGTCTGCCTGACATCACAATTCATATTTAAAAGTTTCACAATGTTAAAATAGAGTATAAAATTGGGAGAGAGGAGCTCTAGGTCATAGTTCTACTGTTGCCACTAACTTGTTTGAGGCCTTATAGATAGACCTCTTTTTATTTCCTCCTCATCAAAATGAAGTGGGTGGGTAAGAAAATCTCTATGGTAACTTCCAAATCTAATTTTTAATGAATATCAGTGAGCTGTTTTCATGAGCAACCAAAAATTATAATAATCAAATTATAATTCAATAATGTGGCCCACAACAAAATGTGAAAACATATGCTGGGAATTAGGGGGAAAGTAGTCTTTGAATTTTCTTTCCTCCTCTGGAGTTAGCCTCATATATCCTTTACCAACATATCCCCAAATTATATTTATCAAAATTCTTCCATTTTTTTGAAGCCTAGCCCAAAGATTAATTTAACAATTACATGTCTGATATTTTATTTTTAAAATATCTTACTGATTTCTTAAAGAAAGAGGAAGGGAGAGGGACAGAGAAAGAGAAATATTGATGTGAGAGTGGGACATTGATCAGCTGTCTCCTACATGTTCCTTACCAAGGATTGAGCCAGCAACGAGGGCCTGTGCCCTGACTGATAATTAAACTGGCAACATTTTGGTGCAATGGACAATGTCCAACCAACTTAGCTATACTGGCAAGTGTTCCTCTGATACTTTAGAGCAGAAAATGTGCTTTCCTTCTTGTGAGTTCCCACAACATGCTATCTGCCTTTCTTTTATAGCACTAATCATAGCTCTTCATGCTGGTTTAGTATGTATTTTCCCCCTATTACACTAAGACCTGGGACTAGAATTTACTCACTTTAGTGTTTTCCACACTTTCCTATTTCTAACATATGGTATTTGTTAAACACATGATATATTCAATGTCTTTAAGCCAATCTGAGGAAGTACCCAATCTCTCTAAAATGTGATAGCAAGTTAATAAAGAAACAAGTATCATTTAAAAATGAGTGAAATTAAAGAAATAAATTTTGATCTTTACCCAAATTTTGATCTTTTCCTCTAGTAAATATTTCATTCATATTTACTAGAGGAGGGAGGGAATGAGAGAGAGAGTTTTGTATGAACGAGAAACATTGATCATTGATTGGTTGCCTCGAATATGTGCTCCAACCAGGGATCTTACCACAACATAAGTGTGTGACCTGACTGGAAATTGAACTCTCAACTTCTCAGTGTACGGGATAACTCTCCAACTAACTGAGCCTATTTTAATTTTTTAATGTTGCATTTTATCACATTTTTACTTAGGAAAAAGTTGCAAAACTCATACAAATAATTCCTAAATCAGATTAATCATACATAACCATAACACAACCATCAAAATCAGAAAGTTAACAATAATTTAATAGTAGTATCTAATTTATAGTCCTTATTTTAAATTGCACTGATGGTCCTGTTAAATGTGCTTTCTGTGATGTAGTGTCTAATATAAAATCACATGTTACATTTACAGTTGTCATGTCTCCTTAAACCTGAAAGAGTGTCTCTTAGTTTTACTTTGTCTTTCAGAATCTCAACACTTAAACAGTATAGATAGCTATTTTTCAGAATGTTTCTCAACTTAAATTTGTGCTCAGATTATACATTTTGGTAGACATACCAAAGAAGGAATGTGTACCCTTCAGTGCATCATAAGAGGAATAATATTAAGACAGGCTAGTAAGCGAAAAAAATGGAATGGGGAACTGAGACAGATAGTTAAAATGGCCATGCAGTTTATAGCCATCTAGTAAATCACAGAATTCTATTTTCCTTAACCAAGAACACTTAAAAGTTGTTTATATTTTACTTCCCAACAAAGGGACAAATAACTTCAATCATTTTACTCATGGAAATAGATAGTAGAAATCCAATTAGTGCCATTTGTTTTAAACACACCCACAGATGAATGAAGTTAAGGGACTAAATCTCATTTTGGCACATCAGCATAAAGCTGATGGCTATTCTATTGAGATCCTCCCCTAGTACCTCCCCTAAAACTCATAGTCTCTAAAACCCTCAAGACAAAAAAAACAGTGAGTACCCTCCTTGGGGAACGTCCACTTGAGTCTCCTTTTCCAGTGAGTTTTCTTTATTTTAAACTTTAAGGGATCCCAGCAGACTTGCAACCAGGGGAGTAGTGGGCAGCAGCAGCTTGTCCCCTGAACCTGTCACCAAGGCCCCCTTTTCTTTAACTTATTTAGCCAACAGTAGCCATGCCTTGGCTTTCCTCTGTTGCCTCTTCTATCCTAAGCCCTTGCTTGTTTCACTGTCCTCAATTTTAATATGTATCTCAAAATCACCTGAACTTGTATTGTGAAATCTTTCCTGCACAAAGTCAAGAACTCACATACTACTGGCCAGCCCTAGACAGAACTGCTCCTGGCAGATTTCTGTCCAGTAATAATCTTATGTAGATTTGTCCCATTACTAATTAATACTTATCTTGTGGGGGGACACTTTGAGAATATGTTATTATTGCGGTGTTTCTATTTCTATCATTTTTCTACCAGCTTAAATTATATTATTTATGAATTTATTTTCTTTCCTATTTTTTTACTTATTCAATAATTTGTTTGTATCAATATGGGCTGATAAATTATTGTTTCATATATACACAAGTAGTTATAATTCAGCACCCTCATTTTTTATTTTGTTTTAGTTAACTTTTAAATTAGAAGTTTTAATTCTAATTTTTTGTTTCTATTCTGTTTTCTGACCTAGAAGTAGCCATGTGAAGCTTCACTCCGAATTAGAACTACTCAAAGAACAGGAGCCCAATTTTTCTCTAAACTGCATCAAATCTTGGGATCACCTAGTATCATAGCATGTATCCTGTCAATATTCAAGAATTGTTTTTGTCTTACTGACACAGGTAGCTCTGAAGCCTTTACAGAATGAAAGCCCAAACCTCTATTTATTATTTTAAAAAAATTCTGCTTTAAGGCATATGTTCAGGCACTATTTCATTAGTCATTATATTGAGAATTGAATCAGGTTTTTTTTTTTTTTTGCATGTAAAAACTGTCTAGAGGCACTGCACACAGAACTATAATAGAAGGTAAATAATGATGGCATCATTATAAAATGAGACTGGGACACCAGTGTGTGTGTTACTGTGTTAAATTCAGCTTTGAAGGCTACTAAATGCAATGCATATCCTGATTAAATACTGATAACTAGGACAGAAAAGAAAACAGAGCTTGGGCCAGGGTCATGACCCTTACTATTTGTAGGAAGGGAGCTTAGAAATAGGAAGTATGGTGAAACAGAGAGCTGTTTGCATGAGGTAGTTCTCTCTCGGTGACTCCAAAGTGCAGAAAACAATCCACAGTTGCCTTCAAAGTAGTAGAGTGAAGAAATCATTTATTAAAAGAAGGAAGAAGATAGTGCATTTACTGTATATTCTGGCTGATTTTAGAACTACAAGCTGGAGAGTCGCACTTCAGGTAAAGTTATTCACTCTAAGCAAAATATGATGTAAAAAAAAATGTGTCTATTAGGAACCCAGTCCACAGGGTCCTAACTACTTACCAACTAGAAAATGCTTGTGATGTGGTAGAAACGCAACTGGATCTAGGTTTTGTAGAGCCTGGGGTATATACAATATGACATACCCTATTTAAGAAAAAGTAATATAAACAGTTTACTTTTTCAAATTTTATACAAGCACGTGAGCCTGTGAATACATTGCTAGTGTGTCTCTAAAGCCTTGGAAGGAATTTTTGCAAGTGAAGTCCCTGAAGCTTCAACTTTATTAACTTCACAGTAAATCTATCTGCCTTTGGTAGATTCCATAACATGGACTATAAAACCAATCTGATATGAGGCTCTAATAACTATTCAAGCCTGTTCCAAGTCTGTAGGCTTCATTGTCATAGTTGTAACCAGATCTAGAGACTTTTGAGTAGAGGCTATATTGTTTCTGTTGGGATTACAGGACCACTGAATGACTTTTGTAAAAGCTGACTACACTATGAAAATTGCTGCCTCAAAGATATGATGTTGCAGATTTCCCTTGGTAAAGAGTGATGGATGAGAAAAAAAGATGGATAAGTCAGTAATATGAATGTATTATATTTAAAGGAGCACTATCAAATATATAATTCTGTGGTTTGTGAGTTTATGGAATTATCTATGTGAATATTTAACAACAAAGAATTACATCTCACAATTTGTTTTGCCATGAATGGGAAGGATTTATTTCTGTATTGAAAGGACAGATTGGTATTAGGCATTTAAAAATAATTAGTTATACAAATAGGTAAAGATGAAAAATATTAATATTTGAA